CAAAATTAAAACCAAACATTCTGCATTGCCAATATCTATCCATCTTATTAGAATTTACTGACTTTAAAAATGTATGTTAATTTTACGTTGGCTTTGAATTCATCAGCTAATCACACAAGATTCCATTTTTTGCTTAAATAAACATATGTACCTAGTGACCCATGTTCTTAAAAAAATTTGTTCAGATACTAATTAAATTCCTTCCTTTTGCACTTAACTATGCTCCTGCCTCGGTGTGCAGACCTGCTTCTGTCTAGGTGTGCAGACCTGCTTCTGTCTAGGTGTGCAGACCTGACTTCTTGACTGCAGGTCTCCAAAAACCAGAATTGGGTGCTCTGAACATGCTTAAGAGAAAGTCAAATTTGAAACCCATTGTGTTAAAACCGGTTGTAAGGAAAAAAAAAACAAAAAAAAACTACAAAGAACTGTATTTTGGCATTGTAATTACAGAGATGTAGAAAAAATATGTTTTCTAAAAGAAGCAAAAATAAATAAATAAATAAATAATAAAAATGTGTGTTACATCTTGTGATTTTCAGTTCCCAATTATTTTGAGGAAGTTTTAGTTTAAAGCAAAGTGAAATTGCCTTTTTCCATAAAACAACTTAGAGACTTTCTCCATCTACTATTCCAACATAATCATATTATCAGTGTATATGACAAGTTATTTTTATTTATTTATTTATTTATTTATTTATTTATTTATTTTGAGATGAAGTCATGCTCTTGTTGCCCAGGCTGGAGTGCAGTGGCGTGATCTCAGCTCACTGCAACCTCCACCTCCAGGGTTCAAGCAATTCTCCTGCCTCAGCCTCCCGAGTAACTGGGATTACAGGTGCCCGTCACCATGCCCAGCTACTTTTTTTGTATTTTTTCAAGTAGAGATGGGGTTTCACCATATTGGCCAGGCTGGTCTCGAACTCCTGACTTCAGGTGATCCACCTACCTTGGCCTCCCAAAGTGTTGGGATTACAGGCATGAGCTACCACGCCTGGCGTGTGGCAAGTATTTTTAGTCATTTTGAGAGTCATCTTTGGAGCATTAAAGTGATTTTTAATGCTCACATATATTAATGGCAAGGGACAAACCTTTTATTCCTCTAAAGGCACATCCTAATACATTAAGTATTTTCCATTTTGTTTTAATCTTGGCTAACATTTAGTTGAGGAACCTCAATATTTTTAGAAGGATAAAATTCATATACTACATAATTCACTCTCTTAAAGTGTACATTTCAGTGGCTTTTAGTATATTCATAAGACTGCACAGCAATCACCATTATCTAATTTCACATTTTCATCATCCTAAAAAGAAATTCCAAACCCAGTAATGATCAGTCCATATTTCCTCTCCCCTCAGCCCTGGTAACCACAATCTACTTACTGTCTCTATAAATTTGACTATTATGGACATTTCATTTAAGTTGAATCAAATAATATATAAAATTTTGCCTGCTTTTTTTCATGTAACATAATGTTTCCACAGTTCATCCATGGTATAACATGTATTAGTAATTAATTCCTTTGTATGACTGCATAATATTCCATTGCATGAATATACCATGTTTGGTTTATATAGTTATCAGCTGATGGACATTTGGTTTGTTTCTACTTTCTGGCTAGTATGAATCATACTGCTATGAACGCTTATGTATAAGTTTTTGTTCCTGAATGTGAAAAATATGTTTCTAGTCTCTTGAATATATACCTAGGAGTGAAATTCCTGGGTCATATGGTAACACCATGTTTAACTTTTTGAAGAACTACCAAACTGTTTCCTACAGTGGCTGCACCATTTTACATTCCCACCAGTAAGGTATGAGCTTTTAATTTCTCCACATCCTCTCTAACATTTGTTATTATCCCTTTTTATTGTGAAGTGGTATCTCATCATGGTTTTGACTTGCATTTCCCTAATCATATACTATTGACCATCTTTATACGTGCTTGTTGGCCATTGTATATCTCCTTTGGAGAAGTGCCTATTCAGGTCCTATGACAATTTTGAAAATTAGGTTGTTTACCTTTTTGTTGTTGAGTGTTAAGAGTTTTTAATACATTCTGGCTACTAGACCCTGACTAGTCACATATATGATTTGCAAATGTGTTCTCCTATTCTGCAGATTGTCTTTTCACTTTCTTGGTAGTATCCTTTGAAGCGCAAAAGTTTTTGATTTTCATAAAGTCCAACTCATTTTCTTTTGTTTTTATTTTGTGCTTTTTGTACTATATCTGAGGAACCATTGCTTAATCCTAGGCCAAAAAGATTCACATCTTTGTTTTCTTCTCCAAGTTTTATAGTTTGCTTCTATGTTTAGGTCTTCAATCCATTTTGAGTTAATTTTTGTATATGGTGTGAGGTAGAGTTCCAAATTCATTTTTTCTATTGCTAAAATTAAATATCTTGGTAGAAGAGTACAGTGATTAAAAGATCAAGGTCTAGATCCTCACTGCTGGAGTTTAAATCCTTCCTCTTCAGTTACTAGTTGTGTGATATTAAGGAAGTGCCTTGATTTCCCTATGACTCACCTTTCTCATCTGTAAAAGGGGATATAGTAGTACCTACCTCATTAGTAGCGCATTAAAATTCAAATCATGGATTTGTCATAAGAACTGAGTCTGTGCATACAAAATGCTGATACATGGTAAGCATTTGTTATTATTTAGCTTTATCTCGGGCTCCATGAACTCCCTTCACATTTAGGATTATCTCATTGTCGTGTCCAAATACATGTTTTTAGTGGTGGGCTGAGTTACTTACCTCCATGTATTATCAAGAATAGGACTTAACAGAATTTAGTATACCTTAAATGTTCCAGAAGAGTTGGATATGAGCTGAGTTTACGGTTGTAGCTTACCACAAAAAGCAGCAAAGTATCTGGAGAAAGGCATTTCCAATCTTTTATAGAGCTTCACACAAATAAAGAGATTAAAGGAAGGCAAATATATTGGTTTACTAGGGCTGCTATGACTAAGTACCACAAACAAAGTGGTTTAATTGATAGAAAATTATTTTCTTATAATTCTAGAGGCTTGAAGTCCAAAATCAAGGTGTCAGAAGGATTGGCTCCCTCTGAGGGCTGTAAGGGGCTCTGGTTTAGTCCTCTCTTCTTGGTTTGTAGATGACCATCTTCTCCCTGTGTCTCTTTACATCTTTAATGAACCGAATTGTTGCTCTCCAAAATTTCTACGTGGAAGCCCTAACCTTCAATGTGATGGTATTTGGAGATAAGGCCTTTGGGAGATGATTAGGTTTACATGAGCTCATGAAGGTGGGACCCTCATGATGGGATTAAGACCCTTGTGATGGGATTGACATCTGAGAGCTTACTTTCTATCTGTGCTACTGAAGACATGGTAAGAAGGCGGCTGCCTGCAAGCCAGGAAGAGAGCCCTCATCAATAAAGGAATCTGCAGGTACCTTGGTATTGGCTTTCCCAGCCTCCAAAACTATGGGAAAAATAGTTTCTGTTGTTTAAGCCACCCAGACTGTGGTCTTTTGTTACAGGGGTCCAATCTGACTAATACAACATTATCATCCCTTTATGTGTATCTGTTTCTGTGTCCAAATTTCCCCTTTGTATACGGACACCAGTCAGATTGAATTAGGCTCACCCTAATGACCTCATTACAACCTGATTACCTCTGTAAAGATTCTGTCTCCAAATAAGGCCATGTCCTGAGATACTGAGGGATAGGACATAGTATGTCAATATATCTTTTTTCAGGAGGAAGGGGGCAATTCAACCCATAACAGCTAACAAAACAAGCCAAATGTGCATAGCACCCTTGAGAGATACTGAGAGAGTAACAAAGGCATTGAGAGCGAAAGGGAGCAAGCGGAAGATAGTAAGGACCAAGAAGTGAAGGATGGGAGGAATCAGTGATTTAAGGGGGAAGGTGACATGTTATTTACTCAATAAGATGTTTTAACATGCTTAGGTGAAAGATGGGAGTTTTCCAACTATATAAGAAAAAGACTGTCGTTCACATGGCACATTGTGGTACCAGGGCCAGCTTCATGGGTATGTTACCCGTGTGGTGACACAGGAACTCTTGAGAGTCTTAATAATTTCGTCTTTGAACTTATGTTTTGTAAGTGAAGTCTGATGGGACAGTGGAGCATCGTGTGAGTAGAGAAGATATGAGCAATATGGGTGTCCTTAGCCATTCCTCACCATTCACATAAACTGCTTACCATACCCCATGGGCACAAAATTACAGTAGACCCACGTGTATGGGAATTTGGTGAGACTCAGCATGAGTAAAAAGTAAACATGTTATGGCCACGACTCAGTCATCACGGGCTCTGAAAGCCCCTACGGACCATCTTTTCCCTTCAAACCAGAACCTGCTTCAAACACAGAACGAAGGCAATGGTGTTCAAAGAAGCATGGATGACCATGAAATCCCATTCTATCCTACCCTTTTTACTCATGTTTCGCCCCATATTAGCCAACCACATAAGCTGAAAATGACAACATGAAAGGAAAGATAGGCCACCCATAGTTCCCTTCCCTCTCAGACCTTCCTTACTCCTCAGTGAGATAAAGACAGAGAGTGTGAGTGTCAAGAAGTGAAATTTAAACAGGTGTGATCATTTGGGGCAGTGTTTCCACTGTTCTGGCAAGAATAAAATACTTATGCATGTACAAGCTATAAAATACTAATTGTGTAATTTCGGTGATTTCACACACAAGTTAAATGCCACTTAAAGTGGTCATTGCGACCAGGCACAGTGGCTCACATCTGTAATCCCAGCACTTTGGGAGGCTGAGGTGGGAGGACCACTTGAGCTCAGGAGGTCAAGACCAGCCTGGGCAACATGGTGAAACCCGACTCAAAAAAATACAAAAAATTAGCCTGGTGTGGTGGGGAATGCTTGTAGTTTCAACTACTCAGGAGGCTGAAGTGGAAGGATCCCCTGAGCCCAGTAGCTGGAGGCTGCAGTGAGCTGTGATAGCACCACTGCACTCCAGCCTGGGTGGCAGAGTGAGACCCTGTCTCAAAACCAAACACACACACAGAGTCATTGCCTCATATAAAGATGAATGGTAAAATTCATGCTAGTCTTTTAAAATAAGTTTCCTTTACTTGACATTAAATTGAAAATTATAAAAAATATCATGACAATTCAAGACCACAGAAGAAAAGGAAAGCCTTTATTACACTTTAGTGCCTTTAATGACACTTTTTTCTAGCTTTTTGAACAAAGGGTACCACATTTTCACTTTGTACTGGGTCTTATATATTATTCAGTAAGACTCACAGGTTAGTTCTTCAACGGTATTACATTTTGATGCAAAAGTGAAAGCAATGCTTAACGCTAAAATTGATGTCTTTGTTATGAAATCTAGACGAGTGAAGGCAATGCTCTGGAGAGGGACACATTCTTGTTACCTCTACATTTCATGTAGGCAAATAACTGCCTTCATAGAGAGTCATTCCTACTGAGATGAAAGGTCCTTAATTTGGGTACCTTGTAAAAAATATGTAGCAGGAAGCTTTCAGTGTGCCTAACAAGAGACTTCCAGGTAATTTAGACTGAACTTGCCTTCTAACGCACACTTAGTGTGCTTAAGAAGAAAGGGCAAGTGTTAGTGCTTCCTGAGATTAGGCTTCAACTAATTAATACACGGTCGCTAACTTCAACTAGGGGAGTAGGCAGGGGGTAAAAGCTGTCGCCTTAGGGAGATGTTTGTCAAATGGAAAATTCAGAAAAAGTCATTCCTTTTGAGCTTGGAGTCATTAACTCCTCTAGTAACCAACTGTGAGAGTACTGTTTGAGCTTGTCTTGAAAATTACTTTAAGAAAGGAAGGACAAGGAGGCTGATGACTGGGTGCTGGTTCATTCACACATCTTCAGCAAGAGGCAGCATATGCGTGTTTCCAACCTGCTTAGAATTCTACTGGTGCTGTCTTCTCACAGAAGAGTTCTCTCTATGTGAGAATCTGCACCTGCTGCAGTGTGGCACGGGCTCCAAAGTTGTGACAACATCTAAAGTAACTCATTCCTTTTATATTTTTGACCCAGAATAAGTAATATTCAAATATTAGTTCTTATACCCACAATCATTTGAGCAGGACAACTCGAAGGAAACTTTCAGGGCAGGTTCACCATCTAGTACTTTGTTCAAAAGGCGGCAGTTCATCAAAGCACTGTCGGTTCTGGGGGCTCTTATTCATGCTGAAGAACACAGGAAGGGAGAGGGAATTCCAACGATCAAAGTATTGGAGGTGGGTATTAGTTTGCTAAGGCTGCCTTAACAAAATACTACAAACTGGGTGGCTTAAAAAACAGAAAGATATTGTTCCACATTTCTGGAGGCTAGATGTCCAAATCAAGGCATGAGCATGGCTTTTTTTTTTTTTTTTTTTTGAGACAGAGTCTTGCTCTGTTGCTGAGGCTGGAGTGCAGTGGCATAATCTCGGCTCACTGCAATCTCCACCTCCCAGGTTCGGGCGATTCTGCCGCCTCCACCTCCCAAATGGTTGAGATTACAGGCGCCTGTCACTATGCTCAGCTAATTTTTGTATTTTTAGTAGAGACAGGGTTTTACCATGTTGGCCAGTCGGGTCTCGAACTCCTGACCTCAAGCGATCCACCAGCCTTGGCGTTTCGAAGGGTTGGTTCCTTCTGAAGGCTTATGTGCATGTCTCTGTGTCCAGATTTCTCCCTCTGAAAGGACACCAGTCAGACTGCATTAGGGTTGACCCTAATGACCTCATTTTAACTTGATTACCTCTGTAAGGAACCTATCTCCAAATAAGGTCACATTCTAAGATATTAGGTAGTAGGACTTCAACATGTGACTGTGGTGGGGGAGGGGGTGTGTGGAATTCATCCTTTAATGGTGGGAGGGGGTGGCATTTAGCAAAAATCCATGTAAAAACCACACACTGACCTGTGGTGGCCTTGCTGATATACTCAGTACAATAACAAATACTTCCAGTGTCTCAAAAACAAGCCTTCTAGAAACAGTCAGATTAGGTTCTGACACTAGTCAGAAGGGTATGGAGGCAGAGGAATCTATGAGTAAGATTGGACATTCACAGAGTATTGAATCTTTCAATCACCCACAAGTAAATGAATACATGAGTGAGTGAAGACCATGACCTTTAAGAAATGATTCATCTATTGGTAGAAATTCAGAAAACTGTTCCCAGTCACTCTTGTTGGTTTCACCATTCTTTAATATAATTTATCACTTGCCTAATGCTCAATTTTCCTTCCTAATACACGTATTCTCTTGGTCTTGCTTTGGTTCTCTTGGTTATCTGGTCACTGGGTTTCATATCCACGTAACTAATCTCTCTAACTTTATCCCATACAGTGTATGCAATGATATCTATTGCTTTCTCGATACTTCTGGCTACTTCCAATCACTTGTAGTCCAATTGTGGAGTCATTGCTTAACAGAGAAGTTCACTCTGTTAAGCAGACAGCTCCAGGTCATCTAGAACCTTCCTCCAAAACAGTTTTCCAGCCTCATTTACCATCATTCCATACAAAAAAACCCTCCAACCAGGGCAAATAAGTGACTGTTTTCCAAGTTTCCATTTTCCATGTTATTTTGTCTCCCTGGAATAACGCTGTTTATCTCCATCTCTTCTTCAGCCTCCCCTCCCCATCTCCCACCCAATGCATAAACACAAAACTGGAGTTTCCAAGTTCCAGCTCAAAACACACTGCCCCTGACCTTCCAAAAAGAAACAATTCCACTGGTTTCTTCGGACGGCATTACACATCTCATCTGACCATATTTTCCATTGTGTTCTTAATTATCTGCATGGTAAGACTGTAGTTCTCCTCTCCCCAGAGCCTAACTCGCTGCCTGAAATAGAGGGGAGTGCTCAATTCAGCATTTAATGAAGGGGTAAATGAATGAATGGAAGTGAATAATGATAGGAAATATCCAAAACATCAGATAATCCAAAAATAATCTATATGTGACTTTGGAATGTATTTTATACACACTTTCAAAGAACATCAAACACAAAACTTCAAACAAAGTAATGAAGCCAGCCTGTGCAGATCCCAGTTGGGTGGGGTGTCCTGGAAAAAGGGTGGGAATCCTAACCGGAAAGGAGGAACCTCTCATCAGCCAACTACCCTTCCCCAGCCTCCTGGCTTATCTAGAAATCAGAGTGAATCCAAATGGCTTAGAGCTCAAGGGTACAGGGTTGGGTAATTCATACGTGATTGTAATGCCTTTAGAAATATAAGTGCTACATAAATGCTAAACTATAATAACACAAAAATAACCACTTTCTATTATGTTCTTTAGATATGTAAATGCCATACTGTTTTACATCTAAAGTGGGTTCAAGAAACAGCAATAAGTTTAACACAAATGCACCAAATGATCATGGAAACCCATCCAGTGTTCTAAATGCAATTATTGTGCTGACCATCAACCCAGAAAACAAATTACAGTAGCTAATGACAGGGAACAGTAATCAGAATGTCTTTAGAAAATTACTTGGAAACAACTTTGTCAACAAAGACCACTCAAATATAGCTGTAAACAGCTTAAATAACAGAATAACACAGTGACCTATGCCCCAAGTGACATGAAGAAGATGTAAAACACATTCTGGGTCCCAAATCGCTGTTTTCTAAGTGACTATGTATGCTGTTTTTAACCTCAGTCTTTCTGGGTCATTCTAAATGTGGGAGAGATTCAACTGCCCTTGAACATTCTGCTGTTTAGTAAGTCTTATCCTGGTTCACTCCTATACTTGGGATAAGTCTCCCTTTCTCCTCTCCTTTGCATTTTTTGTTATCTTTGGCATTCGTTTTTGAAAAACATGCGCCTCACTTGGAGCAAATCCATTAAAGCAAACAACCTGAAAACTTTCCAAACAGCCGGGACTGTTGTGATACGCTGGCATCTCTCAGGGCTTGCAGTGCTCCGAGATCCAGGCGGAAGAGTTTCTTGTTAGCTATAATAGCAACTGACATTTACATATCTCCATTTTAATTCCCTGGAGACTGGTATAGCTCAAGCATGCGATAAGCGAGTGGGGGACACCGGGTGTAGAAGGAAAACCAGCGTGGGTGGAGGAGGGTCTGCAAAACGAGGCCAAAGGACACGCTGCAAGCTTTGAGACTGAAATATTGTTCTCACAGTGCTTTATTAGCAACAGAGTAAAATGAGGAATATGTGAGAAGATTGCTTGTATAAATTGCCACTTTTTCCAGAAAAGCTCAAGTATAACTCTTGCATTGCCTGTAATGGAGGAGTGAGCAATCCCTTGTAGTCTGTCGTTTCTTTTTGTTTGTTTGCTTATGTGTCTGTTTTAAGGCAAAACAAGTACCAAAAATACATTTTGAAAAGAAACCGGATTAAGTGAAATTCTTTCTAAAATGTGTATTCCACATGTTTCTCTGACTAGACAGTGACCCAACTAGGTTAAGTCTTGCCATTGAGGCATCTGATGTCATTATTAGAGCCAACTGCCATGGAAAATGCTGGAATATAATTATGCCTGGAATCCAATATTAACTGATATTCAAAATGTTTTGGTCCACTTGGGGTGGTTTTCCCTACCTCTGGACTTCACTGAGAGACTGGCAAATGTCACTTTTTTTTTCTTTTTGTTTTTGTTTTTGAGACGGAGTCTCTCTCTGTTGCCTAGACTGGAGTGCAGTGGTGCGATCTCAGCTCACTGCAACTTCCACCTCCCAGGTTCAAGCGATGCTCCTGCCTCAGGCTCCTGAGTAGCTGAGACTACAAGCATGCGCCACCATGCCCAGCTAATTTTTGTATTTTTAGTAGAGATGGGGTTTCACCATGTTGGCCAGGATGGTCTCGATCTCTTGACCTCACGATCCACCTTCCTCGGCCTCTCAAAGTGCTGGGATTACAGGAGTGAGCCAGCATGCCCGGCTGCAAATGTCACTTTTTGCAACCCCATCCAATTTTTCAATTTCCTGCTTCTCACATGCTGTAGCCTAGAAATTCTAGCTTAGAATTGTGGCAAGAATGAGCCTCACTGGCTTTTAGTAAGAGGCTGTGAGTAAAGTGTGTAGGCTTTCACATTTATTTTGCTTGCTAGAATCCTTTTACTTTTTACTTTTACCAGTTTCTTGACCACATTCCAGAGAGATCTGCTGACCAACAAGTAGAATAACACTGAAATTAATAAAAGGTGAATTTTATGGTACAGAAAAATAGAAAGAATGAATAAGACCTAGTATTTGCTAGCACAACAGGGTGACTACAGTAAAAAATAATTTAATGTATATTTTAAAATAACTGAAAGAGTACAACTGCATTGTTCGTAACACAAAGGATAAATACTTGAGGTGATGGATACCCCATTTACCCTAATGTGATTATTATGAATTGCTTACCTGAATCAAAATATCTCACGTAACCCATAAATATATACACCCATTATGTACCCACATAAATTAAAAGTTAAAAAAATAGAAGGTGAATTTGTCACATAGAATTTAGACATCTCATAGAGATTTATATGAAATGCTAGGCTTACACATAACTTTATCTCAATTCTTTGACTTAAAATTTTATATTTTTCAGGATGATCCCAAATGCTAAAATTATATTTATTTTAAAAATTAAGCCAGGTGTGGTGGCTTACACCTGTAATCCCAGCACTTTGGGAGGCCGAGGTGGGCAGATCACTTGAAGTCAGGAGTTCAAGACCAGCCTGGGCAATATGGCAAAATCACATCTTTACTAAAAATACCAAAAAAAAATTAGGCTCGGCACACACATGCCTGTAATCCCAGCTACTCGGGAGGCTGAGGTGTGAGAATCGTTTGAACCTCAGAGGCGGAGGTTGCAGTGAGCCGAGATCGTACCATTGCACTCCAGCCTGGGAGACAGAGCAAGACTCCATCTCAAAAAATAATAAGTATTAACTTAATTTCTACATTTACACCTAATAGAATGAATATAATTTTATTTTGGAGAATTTGCTATACAGAGAAAAACAAAAAATCGTAGTCCTTATTACTCTGACACTACCACCCTTTGTACTTTCCTACACTTCTTTCCAAATGCTTCCTAAACATGCATTTGGAAACATGGATTGCTATCATCATCTATATAAGTTTACATCCTGTTTTTGAAATGTACTATATCATAGTTATTCTCCTTATTGCTTTACGTCTTTTTGACTATCCTTCTAATGACTATAGAATATAGCACTGAGTAGCTATATAATCGTTTGCTTAACCATTACTGTACTTCCAGGTTGTTTTCAAATTTTTACTATTATAATAACTCTGCAATGAATATCTTCCTGAACATAGCTTTTATTTGTTTGATTGTCTTGGGATTATTTCTTTAGGAGTTCCCCAGGAAAATTCACATAGAAAAAGACTGTAATAATTTAGAACCAAGTCTTAAAAAGGAATAATTCTGGATGGATATGGATATATTTATGGTCCATAAGTGTATTTCTTGTTTAGTGGGAAGGAAACAAAGTGGTTATTTTAAACACACACAAAAAATGCTGCTCTGAATTAACAAGCAGGGGAGAGGGGACCACTGGGCAAGGCATGGGATACTATTTTGTTAGGAAAACATCTGGCTTCTCTGATCCCTATGGAACAAAGAAGTCGTAATAAAAATAACTAAATTATTTCATATAACAAACTAGCAGAACATTTTAGTCTTCTCCAGTGGGTGAGGAAGTCAAGGAGCCTTGGAATGGAAAGAAGAGAGGTCAGTAGGAGGAGGATTCTCTGGGTCAAAGAAAGAGGAGACTTGTCAACCTGCCAAAGAGAGGGAAACCAGGAAGAAATGCCTGGAGGGTTACAGATAGGCTAGGCACTTTTGCATAGAGATGTCTTCATTTATTTTCAAGTTGCTGCCTATTCTATACCATGATGTGACCGCTTTGGTCCCAAGACTTTAGGGAAAGGTAACTATTCACGAGCGCTTGTGTTAGTGCAACCTGGGGAATAAAGCCTAGAGACTGGTCCTTGGAAGTGCGGGATGGAGAAGAGAGCAGCTTCAGGGAGCAGGAGGCAGAGTTTACTGGACACAGAAGTCAGGGTGAGAGATGACAAAGAACAGCAGGAGGTTCCTGAGAATCCTTACAGATGCTGGGGAAATGTTAAACCTACCCCATTACAGTATGTGGTAGGGGGGCTCAGATTTATACAGATATTGAATGAAATAAGAACTCAAAGGGTCAGTTCGCCTGGATCCCCAGAAAGAAGACTCCGTAGTTAAAATTACATGATTAGCTAAGGCCTAGATGTCCTGAACCCACAAATTATAGACTCTCGGATTGAAAGTAAAATGTGAGGGTCGGGCGCGGTGGCTCACGCCTGTAATCCCAGCACTTTGGGAGGCTGAGGCAGGTGGATCATGAGGTCAGGAGTTCAAGACCAGCCTGGCCAAGATGGTGAAACCCTGTCTCTACTAAAAAAAAAAAAAAAATTAGCCGGACGTGGTGACATGCACCTGTAATACCAGGTACTTAGAAGGCTGAGGCAGAGGACTGCTTAAACCCAGGAGGCAGAGGTTGCAGTGAGCTGAGATCGCATCACTGCACTCCAGCCTAGGTGACAGAGCGACACTTCATCTGAAAAAAAAAAAGAAAAAACAGAAAAAGAAAGTGAAACGTTAACCAGCTATCCCATAAACCCTGGAACTGATATTTCTAAAGCTAAGTCAGTATGTTGTTTTTTCCGCTGCAGGCCTGAATTCGAATTCTGCACAGCCGATGTATTTACTTTTTAAAAATCTGTATTTTTGTTTTTATAAAAGGCACGCAGACCTTGCTTCCGTGAGTCATCTACCTGTAACTAGTGGACAGAGCTGGCTGTCATGCTCATGGAAAGGCTGCTCCTGCTCTCGAGGAAGCTTGGTGAGCAGATGTCAAGTAAATAAGAAGTGGCGTCTACTCTCAGAGTTGACGGCCCAAGTTGAGGATTTGATGTGTAAAAGGATTGTTGTGAGTCCTCAACTATGTGTCTTTGCAAGCCAACAGAATGCTCTGTCACAGGGGGAACATCAGGAAGTCCCGTGACATTAGTCAAGATCATAGACAGCGACTGAGAGCAACTCCTAAAGCAGTTGGCATGCATTCCCAAGAGGAGAAGTGTTGTGCTGGGGAGATGTGTATTATGGCTCTGCTACCATATACTTCTCAAGGGCATGTACTGTTTTACAGTGGTAAGAAAGGCTTTGCAATGTGTTAAGCAAGATACCATGAAATGTGTATGTGAATCATTGTTAATATATGGCAGATACAAGGGGAAGTCCATATCGTGGTCCCAAAGGTAGAGGTTGCCTAAGGGTCAGTAACAAAGGGAAAGAGAATATTTATGTAGTTTAGACCCGCCGAGGCATATGAGAGGGTAGTAGTCACTTGAACAAAATTGAGACTCTGCCAGAAAAAAAAATGGGAGATGTGGGATTCCAGACTATTTATAGGATGAGATATATATAAAAAAATAGTTACACTCACAAAGTACCTAGTATGTGGTAGACACTGTACTAGGTACTTAAATATTATTTTAAAATATACAATTATATATAACTATATATTGTAATTCTAAAAATGCAACTCATTCAAGTTCCTGTGCCAGTAAATTACAAATTTGAACTCAATTCTCCCTGAATCCAAAGCTCATGCTTTTTCTATTACATTAATTTTCAACCTTTTTGGGTCATTGGCCCCTTTGAGAGTTTGATAAAAGCCATTGGAAAAAAATGCATGTTACCATAAAAATGCAAATGTGCACACAGATATAAAACTTATATAGAATTTCGGGGTGGTCACAGACCTCCCTGGGGCCTCAGTTTATTAATCCTCTATTACACATACCACGATGCCAAGGAAGGTTGATCGCATTATCCAAGTGTTCTCACAGGTCTTGCAGCCAGATCTGTGTGGAGAAGTGTTTTCTTTAATTAAACCATTAAGTTCCCAAGTCTACCAAACTCACTTCTTGAAAGTCAGTCTTTTTCACTTGATTAAAAAGAACCCTGTTTTCATTCCTTGCATTCAATAGAAGACTTTTTTTTTTGAGATGGAGTCTAGCTATGTCGCCCAGGCTGGAGTGCAGTGGCACGATCTCAGCTCACTGTAACCTCCACCTCCTGGGTTCAAATGATGCTCCTGCCTCAGCTTCCTGAGTAGCTGGGATTATAGGCACCCACCACCACGCCCAGCCAATTTTTATATTTTTAGTAGAGACGGGGTTTCACCATGTTGGCCAGGCTAGTCTCGAACCCCTGACCTTGTGATCCGCCTGCCTCAGCCTCCCAAAGTGCTGGGATTACAGGCATGAGCCACCACACCTGGCCCAACAGAAGACTTTTTAGGCGGGCTTATGCTGTCCACAGAGGCACTCAGCAACGGTTTTCCTTACAGGGAATATCACATGTTTGGATTGGGGTTTACTCGAATCTTAATCTTGTCCAGACAGACACACCTCCCAACTTAGGATCTTCCTTTTTGCCTCCCATCAGCTCTACCTTGGTTCCTTTATTTTACAAGCTCCTCTGCAACTACCCTCTACCTCTCTTTGTGTCTCAAAGACAAAATGTATTGAAAATCTAGATAAGTGGAACTCTTTTATAAAGCATTTGATTTAAAATGCAATATGCAATTTTTCTTTTTCTTTTTTTTTTTTTTTTTTTTTTTTTTTTGAGACTGAGTCCCACTCTGTTGCCCAGGCTGGAGTATAATGGCGTGATCTCTGCTCACTGCAACCTCTGCCTCCTGGAGTCAAACAGTTTTCCTGCCTCAGCCTCCCGAGTAGCTGGGATTACAGACACCCACCACCATGCCTGGCTCATTTTTTGTATTTTTAGTAGAGACAGGGTTTCACCATGTTGGCTAGGCGCTGACCTCAGGTGATCCACCCGCCTCGGCCTCCCAAAGTGCTGGGATTACAGACAGGAGCCACCGTGTCCAGCCTCAAATGCAATTTTCTTACATGAAACCAAAATATATTAAAAACTGTGTTACACCGGGCGCAGTGGCTCATGTCTGTAACCCCAGCACTTTGGGAGACTGAGGTGGGCAGATCACCTAAAGTCAGGAGTTCGAGACCAGCCTGGCCAACTTGGTCAAACTCCTGTAATCCAGCTACTGGGGAGGCTGAGGCAGGGAGAACTGCTTGAACCAGGGAGGCAGAGGTTGCTGTGAGCCAAGATCACGCCACTGCACTCCAGCCTGGGGGACAAAGCAAGATTCCGTCTAAAAAAAAAATTGTGTTACAATTAAAATGCAGCATAGAACTTAGAAATAATATATAGTTTTCTTTTAGATGCCAGTGACTCCAAAAGGTATTTTTAAAATTTCTATTTGAAATCTTACAATATAAGAATCTAGGTAAATGATTTATAATTGTTGGTATGCATACTGTTGTTAAACAACAACAACAAAAATCTGGCCATTATAGAATGCTCCAGAAATTACAAACATACACAAAGAGGAAAACAAAAATAATCTTCATCCCACCACCCTGAAATAATCTTTGTAACTTTTGTGAATAGGATATTCACTGCTCTTCTCCCTGTGTGTGTGTGTGTGTGTGCGTGTGAATGCACACAAAATTGAAATGATTTTAACATGGTGGGCATTTGCATACATTCTCAAAACAAACTCTGTCTTCATATTTATTGACTTTTTCTTTAAGATACAGATAAAACTGTAATAATGCTAAAAATGCTAAATAATACTACTAAAAATAACTATAGTATTAGATTAGATACTTTAAGATGCCCATAAAAATGATGGTAGTAGACCTGGATAGAAAGGCTTTTTCTTTTTATTATTATTATTATTATTATACTTTAAGTTCTAGGATACGTGTGCACAATGTGCAGGTTTGTTACATATGCATACATGTGCCATGTTGGTGTGCTGCACCCATTAACTCGTCATTTACATTAGGTATATTTCCTAATGCTATCCCTGCCCCTCTCCCCACAATAGGCCCCGGTGTGTGATGTTCCCCTTAGAAAGGCTTTTTCTTTAATTAAAACAATGTAAAAGTGATAACTCCTCCGATACTGTTTGGACAATGTTTTTCTCTATTTAAATCATGTGACCACACACCCTGGGGGTTTGGAAGAAAACATAAATTTTATGAGAGTCAGGTCACAACGAAAACAAACAAAGAATTCAAGAATAATCTGTCAAGTTTCACACTGTCATGCTCACAACTTCACAGCAAACCTTTAGGATTAAATTGTGACACATCCAGGCTGAGGATCCAGAGTTCCAAACCCTCCTGCTGTTTTATTTCACTAACGTTTGAAGAATGTTGGTGGTCTTGTAAGAGAACCTGAAGAGAGAGAGGAAATGGTCAATACTAGGGAATAATCTACAGAAAGTAAAACATGATTTCCTTTCTTCTACCGGGAAGTATAGCTGTTCAGCCAAGATTAGGTTTTCTTTGTGCAAGGCTGTTTCCTGGGGTGCAAAAAGAAAATATTAAAACTCTTCCTTAAAAAAATTATAGCTACTATATATGTATAGTTCTACATACTTTACAATATATGTTAATATAGTAGGGCATATACATATTGTATAAACTAATAGGTATATGTATATGGGGAGTTAACTGAACTCATATTCATGTATATTTGGGGATGTGTATACTCAAAAGCCTTTTCAGGAGCGGAGTGCATTATCCAAACAGATCACCGCTTATCTTCCCTCAAAATCCTTTCTTTATTGGAGTCTTGCAAGGGATTTTATTACATGGTGGAGAATCACATCCTCACTGGAAAATGCACTGAAATTGCTTTTTATATGTGTTTTTTTGACAACTGAACTAATTATTGAATGGAGTCTGATAGAGGAAGAGGGCCTGTGTCCCCAGCCCTTTCTCCAGTCTAAGTGAGAACAGATTCCTTCATTTGTTCAGCATTTATCAAGGCCATTCTACATGAGCACCATTGAGTACTGTGAGGGAAACAGAGATGATTAAGTCATGGTTCTGATGATCATCAATAATTGAAGGAAAAGTGAAACTCTATACTGGAAATATGGGCTGGGTGCTGGGAAAGTGCTGAGGAGGGAGGACTTAGTTCACACTGGAACTGTCAGGGAGGTTTCCAAACAGGAGATTTCCGTGGGCAATCCTGAGAGCTGGCAGCGCTGGATAAGGAACCAAATAGAGCTATGGAGGTGTGGAAAGTATTCAGTCTGTTGCAAAAAGCAAAGTGTTCAAATAGGTGGGATTCTAGGCTATTTAGAGTGATAGAAAGAGCCATAGATGGGACTGGAAAGGAGATTATGGAGGTTCTTGAACATCGTGCTAAAGAGTCCAGATAGTAGCACTGTAAGATGGTTAGCATCATCCTCATTTAAAAAAAAAAAAAAAGTTTTTTTTAGACAAGGTTGCACTCTCTTGCCTAGGCGGGAGAGTAGTGATGCAATCATGGCTTCCTGTAGCCTCAAACTCTTGGACTCAAGGCATCCTCCTGCCTCAGCCTCCCGAGTAGCTGGGACTAGAGGTGAATGCCACCATGCCTGCCTAGCATCCCCATTTTTATACTTGAAAAAAACTGAGGCTCAGAGAAGCTCAAAGTCGCAATGCAGGTATACTGCAGGGCTGGCCTCGAATCCAACATTCTTTCCACTTTTAATTTATAACAGAAGTATAAAAAACAAAGATGCAATATAAAACGCTTTTGTGCATTATTGGTTAATTGTCATGTGCATTTAGAAGAAGTAAGCTGAACCAACTGATAAGACTTTACAGCTGTATTATCAGTCCTTTTAAATTAATACGTTTGAAAACCTACTATAGTGCCCACAATTGCAGCTGTTAAAGAGTTAGTGACAGACACTGAAACCGGCGTGGCCTTCACGTCCCCGGTGTCTGAAGCAGTGCCCGAACCACGGCAGGTGCTCCATAAATGCAAAGGAAATAAAACCGATTCCACTTTTATTTTAAAGTCTATTAAATTTGAATTCAATCAAGAAAGTTGATTAGAAGTTGATTACAAGATGCATGCACACAAATACATTTGAAATGAATTTATGTCTCTTAATTATGGATTTGAGATTTTATTTATGAAAACTAGGGTCTCTGAATTTCCATTTGATAGCTACCTAATTTTTGTATTATTGAGAGAGTCCATTGGTGGAAAGCACCCAGGGTTAGGAGCTAGATTTAGGTTTGAATCTTTTTATTTGAGACAGAATCTCACCCTGTTTCCCAGGTTGGTAAGCAGTGGCGTGATCTTGGCTCACTGCAACCTCCGTCTCCCTAGTTCAAGCAATTCTCCTACCTCAGTCTTCCAAGTAGCTGGAATTACAAGAGTACACCACCACATATGGCTAATTTTTGTATTTTTAGTAGAGGCGAGGTTTCACTATGTTGGCCAGGCTGGTCTCAAACTCCTGACCTCAAGGGATCTGCCTGCCTCGGCCTCCCAAAGTGAGCCACCATGCCCAACCAAATTCAGGTTTGAATCTTAACTCTACACTTTTTTAAACCTTGGATAAATCTTGATTTAACCTTGGATAACTTCCCTGAGTTTCCATTTCCTCATCTGTAACATGGGAATAGTAACACTACTCCTTTGCAGGATCATTGGAAGTATTAGAAATAAACTCCACATTAAGTCCATATATATAAAGATATGTAAAGATACACAGGTATGCTACATACAAAGTCACGTAGTAGGTACACAATACATTGTGGTCATCATTGTTATTTTCTATTTTAATTTTTTAAAACTCCGTTACACTTCTGACAGATAGTCATTTCGTTGGCTAGCCTTTCTAGCTCATGAAACCCGTGACTATGTTCTATAGCCATATAATTTTCTCAAGCTTTGAACATTAAAATTAAATAAAGAATAATCCTGCAGATGTGGATAACTTCAGCTCAGCTATTTCCTATCTGTGAAAATATCACAGTTTATTTAATAACTGATGTCAGAATAGGTTTCAAGCAACCTATAGAATAGTAATGAAGCTGGGTTTAAACAAATGTGTCTGTTTATATTTAATTCCCTCCACTTTCTGATAGAATGAACAGTTTTATTAGAAAATAATCAGTGTGTGGATCTCTTTTCTACACATTGTTTCCACCTTAACTACCTAGACCCTCTTAACCTCAATGATTCTCACTGAGTTGGGTTCTTAACAGATAACAATGAATTTTAAGCACAGTGGGTACCGCATTCTTCATTCTGTGGGGAAATTGATTTGATGGAACAATAGATTTTGAGTTCCAATCTGGGGCGGAGTACAGAATTTACAGAATAAAATAGATAAGTCGGCAAAGTAAACAATATCTTTCGAGGACTTATCATTCCCTCTCCAGAAAGGGCTGGCAGAGTCATTCTTTTGCTATGTATCTTATTTTGTTAGAGATAATAAATCTCAGTTATAAAATCAGTTGAGGTCAGGCACAGTGGCTCACACCTGTAATCCCAACACTTTGGGAGGCCAAGGCAGGCAGATCACTAGGTCAAGAGATACAGACCATCCGGGCCAACATGGTGAAACCCCCATCTCTACTAAAAATACAAAAATTAGCTGGGTGTGGTGGCGGGTGCCTGTAGTCCCAGCTACTTGGAAGGCTGAGGCAGGAGAATCGCTTGAACCTGGGAGGCGGAGCTTGCAGTGAGCCAAGATTGCACCACTGCACTCCAGCCTGGGCAACAGAGCGAGACTCCATCTCAAAAAAAAAAAAAACAAAAAATCAGTTGAGGACTGTGCTATGCAACTTTATAAACCACATGCTTGAGAGCTTCACAAAGTTTCCCTAAACTTGGAGCATCCTACTCATCCCCTTTCACTCAGGAATTTTTCATTAGAGGCTTGAGACATGTGAGTTAATAGGGTTCATGATCCTCATTCTGTTTTTCCTCTAAGCAGGTCTCCTAAGAGCATTAATTTGCGCATTCTATTTCAATAGAGACTTTTAACACAAAAAAAGGTCAAATTATTACCCACATAATTTTTGTCACTTATCAGAGAAGTCTCAGTTGTCAAGTCCCTTTTCACCTGAGAAATTCATGTGGGATGAGTTCCAACTTCTTTGCAGTGATCCGTGCTGATATTCAACATTCTGGAAATACTGCATGCAAATCTCAACCTGTAGGTGAAAGTTACCTTTTAACCTTCAACTCCCGCTTCAATAAAGACAAGTTTCAACCTTTTTGGTAACAGACATTAGTTAAATTCTAACAGTCTAATTTTTTTGTTGTTTGTTTTTATATCAGCCATACAACATCCCCAAATGGTTTACTTTTCTAACAAAAATGATTTTTTTTTCTTGGCTGGTTTTTTTTTTTTTTCCTCTCTCTCTCTTTTCTATGTTGCTCAGGCTGGTCATGAACTCCTGGCCTCAAGTAATTCCCCTGCCTTCCAAAGGGCCGGGATTACAGGCATGAGCCACCACACCCAGCCTTAAAAAAGAAATTTTTGAAATGGAAATATTCCGTACTATCATGGGCTTCTATTTGAGGGTAAGAATCCAAAGGTCTTTACAGAGGGTCTCCTGCAGTTTGCTGGACCGCAGCCAGTCACTATGGAGGAAGAATAGGGTGGGAGGACTCAGGGTATCCCCATAGGCGCCTTTTTCCCCCCCAGTGGAGCTGATAATCCTAGGTCAAACTGTGGGTCCCGCAAAATTCTACATAAAACCCTGATTAGGGGAGGGATTGCATTGGGAGTTATACCTGATGTAAATGACGAGTTGATGGGTGCTGACGAGTTGATGGGTGCAGCACAGCAACATGGCACAAGTATACATATGTAACAAACCTGCACGTTATGCACATGTACCCTAGAACTTAAAGTATAATAATAATAAAAAATAAAAAAATTTAAAAAACCCTGATTAGAGGCCTAGAGAATAAATCCATTGATTTACAAGAGGCTGTCCCTGACCTCATAGGGTGATTCAGAGAGGGCCCAGAGATGTCATTCACATTTAAAGGAAAAACGCAACTTGAGTCTTGAAGCTTGAGTCTCAGGCTGGACTGCACTTATTCAAGTGCCCTCTTGTTCCTTCTCATCATAGTCTCCTCAGATGCCAGGTGTGGGCCTGCAGCCATTTGGTCCAATACTTGCAAGAGTCATCATCTGTATCCTCTTAGTGGTGCCTTCTGTGCCACTCGGGTCTGAAGCTGGAAGGGTGATACTGAGGCAAAACCCCAGAGCAGCTTGTCGACTTTGTTTCCACTGGCTTCTCCTCGTGTTTTGGTTGACCTGGTCAACATGACTCCTCCCAGCATTCAGGACTCCAAATAGAGTACCACTCAAAACTTGTACGTCTTCAGGGGACTTTCATTGCAGGTGATTTTCTACTGAGGGAGAAGGTAGGAGAAGTGTTCAGATGCTCTAAAAATTCAAGTTCCCCAAATGCAAAGGATCTTGCCACATCATGACTTCTTCCTAATGAGCCTCTCTTTGCAGGGGAAAGAATAGTTCCGATTTGAATGGCAAAATCTCTCCCTTCCAAGAAGGAAGGCTCCTCAAATGAGATCATTTTACTTCTCTGCTCGACACCTCCTCATCCTTTCACATCTTAGTAAAAACCAGTGATTAAAATGGTGCCATCTCTACATGATAGGGTCTTTTGGCAACTCTCAGTCCTCATGCCTCCTCCTTCTTTCTGACCCCATTCCAGCCTCAGTGGCCTCCTCACGGTCCCTCCAGCATGGTCCGCATGTCCCTGCCTTTGGTCTTTGCACATGCTCTGCCCTCTGCCTGAAATGCTGTTCTGTACATCTCTGCAGAGCTCTTTCCATGGCCTCTTCTAGTCTTCACTCAAATACCACCCTTCCAAGTGACACCTTCCCTGACCGTCCCGTCTAAAATTATACATATAATTCCCATCCTCCCATAACACTCTTCCCATCCTCCTTCTGTGCTTTAGATTTATTCTTAGAACTCATAACTGTCTAATGTGCTATCATTCAAGCAAAATAAACAGGAGACCATTCGCTGGAGGCTATCTTTGTACTTTGTGTTCCTACGTAACAACCTCCCCACCCCCAAATAACTTAGTATATAAACAAGCTGAAACATAAGTGAACAGTGTGCATATATATATAGAGAGAGAGAGAGAAACAAATAGCCAAGTTTCAGCCAATCACAAGCAACCAACTCATCACACCATGATGAAATAAGGCAAACACCTAGCTGTAGCCAACCAGGTGACTGCTCTGCTTTGCTTCTGAGTTCAGCTCCTGTTGCTGGGTGGCGCTGTCTGAACTTCTGGCTCTGAGGGCTGCCCAACTTAGGAATCCTTCTTTGCTCAAATAAACTCTTAAATTTATTTGAGAGACAAACTCTGTCTAAAAGTTCTTCTTTAACACTACTTAGTTTGAAAGTGTATCTCATTATCTGTTGGCTTTTTTTTTTTTTTGAGATGGAGTCTCACTCTGTCACCCAGGCTGGAGTATAGCGGTGCGATATCGGCTCACTACAACCTCTGCCTCCCAGGTTCAAGCAATTCTCCTGCCTCAGCCTCCCAAGTAGCTGAGATTACAGGTGCCCACCACCACGCTCAGCTAATTTTTGTATTTTTAGTAGAGACGAGGTTTCACCATGTTGGCCAGGCTGGTCTCGAACTCTTGACCTCAGGTGATCCACCCGCCTCAGCCTCCCAAAGTGCTGTGATTACACGCATGAGCCACTGCACCCAGCTTATCTGTTGGCCTTTAAAAATGAAAGCACCACAAGGGCAGGGATTGACATCCTATTTGTTCATTCCTGTATCTGCAGCACTTAGAATGGTGTGTGGCTGGCATATAGTAGGTGCTCAATGAACATGGGTTGAACAATGAATGCGTGAACAAAGAATAAAGTTAGGACCATTTGTGGCCTCTGTGTGTGTGTGTGTGTGTGTGTGTGTATGTGTGTGTCTGTGTGTGTGTGTGATGGAGTCTCGCTCTGTTGCCCAGGCTGGAGCACAGTGGCACAATCTCAGCTCACTGCAACCTCTGCCTCCCAGGTTCAAGTAATTCTCCCACCTCAGCCTCCTGAGTAGCTGGGACTACAGTTGCCACCACCACGCCCAGCTAATTTTTGTATTTTTAGTAGAGACAGGTTTTTACCATGTTGCCCCATCTGGTCTCAAACTTTTGACCTCCAGTGATCTGCCTGCCTTGGCCTCCCAAAGTGCTGGGATTCTAGGCATGAGCTACCACGCCCGGCCTATGGCCATTCTTGACTATCCTCAGCCAAGGGTACCCAACTCATGCTTTCCCAAAGGCCACATGGTTTTCACAGCACCCTGCAGAAGATCAGAGGTGCTGCCCAGACTCTGGTTGTGCTCCTGAGAAACTGAATTTTCTGCATCCTCTTATCATTGGCCACTGACCTGGCTGAGATGCAATCTGTGTTCCTTGGTTTTTCGTATGCATAAACTGAATGTTTGAAGCCTCACCTTCCTTTGGATACAGATGAAATCATATTTAATGAAATATAAATCATAATAACTCTCAGCCCCCCTCCACCCCGCATAATTGCAGGAACTCTAGGCATCCCCCCGCCCCAGTTGATTTCTGTTCATGTTCTTCCCTGCCAAACTCCCTAAGGCCCTTGTCAGTACCCCTTGAGAAAGGTCCCCACTATGCCTAGCCCCTGAACCACTGGGAGTCTCCTCTGCCCAGCACCAGAGCTCTTCATGGGCTCTAAAGGCGCGAGGGGAGGAAAGCAGCCAGCTGCTTCTGCTAGTGATACGCTAGCCAGCGGGGCTGGGAAATGCTGGGTAGAGAAAGGCGGGGTCCCTGGCTAGGGCTCCACCCTCAGGCCTATACCCACGAACCTATGTGAGAACAGGCATTTCTGTTTTACCGCCCAAATATTGCATTTTCCAACACCACCCTGGCCCGCCACACCCCCCATCCTGTGCCTGTAAAAACCCGGAAACCCTGGAGGGCACAAAAACAAGCAGCTGGACATTAACAGGAACACACCAGCAGAGAAAGACACCGGCAGAACAACACACTGACAGACACCAGCAGACGCCAGCATGTCATCGCCCGCAAAGTTCAGCCCAGGGCAGTCAGAGGAGAGCCCGGCTACTGGGCGGCCCAACTCCAAGGGAAAACCACCTTCTCACTCCACACCCCTTCTGGCTCCCCCATCCATCTGCAGAGAGCTACTTCCACCGCTCAGTAAAACCTTGCTCTCAGCCCGGCGCGGTGGCTCACGCCTGTAATCCCAGCACTTTGGGAGGCCGAGGCGGGCGCACCACAAGGTCAAGAAATCGAGACCATCCTGGCCAACATGGCAAAACCCCGTCTCTACTAAAAATACACAAATTAGCTGGGCGTGGTGACGCATGCTTGTAGACCCAGCTACTCAGGAGGCTGAGGCAGGAGAATCGCTTGAACATGGGAGGCGAAGGTCGCAGTGAGCCGAGATCGCACCACTGCACCCCAGCCTGGGCGACAGAGCGAGACGCTCTGTCTCAAAAAATAAACAAACAAACAAAAACTTTGCACTTACTCTCCAAACTCACATGTGATCCGATTTTTCTGGTACACCAAGGCAAGAATCCAGGGATACAGAAAACCCTACTTCCTTGCTGTAAGGCAGAAGGTGTAATTGAGCTGATTAACACAAGCCGCCTACAGACGGCAATTTAAAAGAGCACCCTGTAACACACGCCCACTGGAGCTTCAAGAGCTGTAAACATTCACCCCTAGACACTGCCATGGGGTCAGAGCCCATGCTCCCCACGACCTGCCTGTCTGCCTGCTCCCCTAGGGGTTTTGAGCAGTCGAGCACCTGAGCCACAGCCCCATCACACCCCCGAGATGGGGACAAGGGAACTTTTCTCGTTTCACTTAGACTCACAAAGTCTTTAGGTGACCACAACTGCTTTTGGGTCTGGGCCCGCACTTTACAATTACACAGTTTATAGGCAAACCCTTAGGCTGGTGGGAGAGTAGAGAACTTGCATTCTCTTATTGCTCCCCTCTTCCCCTTCTCCTTCCAGGTGTCATGCAAGATAATACCCTTTGACTCCAGGACCCAACACAGATATTTCTGGAGTTGTCACCCATGTGCCAGAAGTTCCTAGTCTCTGACCTTATAGGACACCTTGCAATTCATTCTCATTCTATTTAGAGGATC